GGGGGGGGGGGGGGGGACGGGGTTCAATCACATCGCATACAGCGGCGGCGACCTTTTCGATCAAGTCAAAAGACAGGAAGGGCTGTTGGCCAAGCTGGCAGTGCCTTCTTCTGCTGTGTATGCGGTGGGTCTAGCGGGTGGGAAAAACAAACACATAAACAAAACCCGGCCGTCTTTGCCGCCAGCCAACGACACAAACTCATCCCCAAACCATCTCTCGACGGCATCAACACCGGGGAACACATTCGGAAGACGGCCGACGGCAGGGTACTAGATATAAAGCGCGGCAGTTAACGCGTTTTGGGGGGCAGGGGGCCTAACCTCAACGATTGGTGCTGTACCTTTTCCTTCTCGATGTCGAGCCTCGTGAAGAACTCTTCTCTGTCTCGCTCCTGCTGGTGCTGGTGCTGCTGGTGGGTCAGTCCCTGGCCCCCACCGCTGCCCGCGACTAGGCTCCTCCTGAGCTTCTTGGCGATCTGCTTAAGGGCCTTGTAATTGACGCTACCTCTCAGCTGGTCCGGCGACAGCTCCGTCCTGATCTTCTTTCCGAACTTCATCCAAGTGCCGGTCTTGGCAAACCGGCGCGTTTTTTATACGGTAGATAGCGGGACCCCCCCTCCTTTTCCTGGAACGACGTGGGTATAGGACCAGAGAACAATCACCGCTTGCGACAGACGACGAGCCAATAGCGTACGCGTAGTTGGAAGCCTCTCCTTTTGTCGGATGTTCCCGGCTGGCCGTCCTCCCTTCTGTCTCTCTGCTCTTCTCCCCTGCTGTCTGCCTAAACACGCGCACCAGAGCGCCACACGACACACGCGCACATACAAACGTTTATTGTCAACAACAAGAGAGACAAGACAGCGGCGACCGCGGTAACCGTCTGGCCATGAAAAGACGCTGAGTTCACAGCGGGACACGACAAACGCCATCACGACTTCTGTGCATGGTAGTGTGGAAAAAGATAGCATCGTCCGCTCTAACCCGCAGACCAATGAAATGGCTGTTGCGTGCCTCGTAGGTGGGTGGAGGAGAATAGGAGGATGGCTACATTCACAGGTTACAAATCATGAAGCGCTGTGCGTGGTGGTTTCTCTGCGCTTTTTCGACGGAATAATATGCACACAACCATCCATACATGAGTTGACCTGGCCGTCAACAACAGCAGTTGTTGTTTTCACATTCAAAACCGTTCCGGTCTCCGCTCAGTACCCTCTAATGCCCGTAATGCAGAACAACCTGCCATTCTGCGTAGACTTAAGGGTAGCATCAGACACACGGTACACACCGCCGTGCGCCGTCGGAAATCGGTGGCTGCATGTCAAGTCAAAACGTCCAAAATTAAGAACGACAAGAAAAACAAATCCCCAACGATGCTGTCGCGGCTCATGTGACGCGAACGAACCCATTAAGCGCTCCTGTTGGCTGGCAGGAGCATTCGGTTAAACGACCTAAAACGCCGCTTCTTTTTGAAGAGACGAGTCAACGCCTACCCAGTCTCGTTTTCTTACAACGATTTCATCTGTACAAAAAAAGGGTCCGTGATACGTAATGCACGTACGTATGATACAACGGGGCACGTGAATGAAATAGAGCTCGCTCACAAACTTCAACTTGTCCCGTGGCTGGCTTGAGGAGAGACAAAATTAGGTTGCCGCACGTGCATTGGTGAACATCCATCAGTCTCTACTTCGAATTACATGGCTACTCGAAGCAAGCACCGGCCTGGTCGCACGCACGGGGCGAACACAAATTTCAACCTGTTTCAGTGGCTGGCTTGCGGAGAGAACAATTTATTCAGGTTGCCGCATGTGAATAAAAAGGAGTACACGGCTTTTCGCTCGGCGAGGACAGACCTGAGGTGCCATCGCCCCGAAAATCCCACGTAGTTCTTGACACATAAAAGCGGTGGTAACAAGATGGCTTATGTATGAAGCGACGATGTCGCGTGCTTGGAACCACAGCAGTTTTTTTGCTCCTGGACGTAGGGTGGCCGTAGAGGAGTCGAGGACTTCTATGTACGATTATATGGGTAGCAGTCCTTTTCACTCAACATACGCGTCGAAAAACCTAATAACTACAAAGTGAAGAGACTGCTGCACTCTTCTAGCATTAAAAATGTAAGACAAAGCACCGCAGGAGGGGTGAGTAGGGGGGCTCAGGGAGCGGAAACCCTCCTGTTTGACGACACGGGTTGGAGTGAACGGTACAAACGCTGTGAGCGCTGATTTGAAGTGGAGATTTAAAAAAAAAAAAGGAGCCGAGCTGCTGCCAAACCCAACAAAAACGTTTTTCTGCCATCCTCGGACCTCGGAGCACATCGTCTACGTCATGCACTTCGTTTGGAAGCCCTTTCCAGGGAGCGAAAAAGAACCGACCGGCCGAGCACCACGTACGTAAGAGACACAGACCACCGGACCGAGTGACGCACGCGAAAGAGGACGAGAGACCACCCGCGGAGACGAAAAGGCGAAAGAAAATTCCGCAAAGTAAATGCTGCTGCTGTACGACAGACGGACATAATTGAGCGATGATCCGGTCATCAGACATCAGAGACTCAAGGACACCCGCGGGAGAGATAGATCGTTACCACCAACACACGCGGGTGCGACGAGCGGAAGGGAAACTCTTTCTCCCGCTAAGGACCGAAGGTCTGTGAGTGGCATAGCACTCACCCTAGGGGGGGGGGGGGGGGGGGGA